TCGCTTTGGGATCCAGCATTAGGCTAAGAAAAGAACAGCAATGCTTTAGCTACTGTTATATAATGAATTTAAAAAATTCAATAAGAGTCTCTTACCGGTAAAGCATGATCAGGGTGCTGCACAAAAATGCAACACTTAATGTCTAATTGTATTATAAAATCGACTGATTAGAGAAAATGAAATTACGGAAAAGGAATCTTTAAAAGAAGTCTCTTCCAAGTTTCAAACGAAGTTCAAGCACACATTCGCCTATCGAAGTTCATTAGAACACCTTTATCCCTAGCAGAACACATCTCCAATCGTATTTAGTCACGTCTTCTATACCTCCACTAGCGACCAGCTTCAATTTGCCACTCAATGGCTCTACGTGAACGGATGTCCGTAAGTGCTTAAGTCACCAATAAATATGTCTCTCCCACCATCCTTTGCATCAACTGATGATGGCTCTTTAGGAATGTCGGGATGCCAACAACTACTACTTCTCCCAGTCCACCCATTCCAACCCAAAACCCCAGTGTTCCTTGTCAGCTCACATCACTCAACTATGACGTCTACTTGATCATCGACACTTCGTCCGCTATGAGTACAAGCGATTTTTCGCAGGTATAGGTCTATATTTCAAACAGAAGTTCGGCAATTGAAGATATTCAGCTCAAACAAGCACTAGTCAACTTCGTGAATCCTTTTGCTATCGGAGATGGCAAAACTCAATTTGCTTTGGTTTCGACCGCCATCGACTCTGAACTTTACGGTACAAACTTCCATAACGGGCAAGACAGGTAAAAAGACATTGGGAGCACTTTTCGTAAAAATTTAATTCTGTTCATATTTTAGGCAAACGCTGATCAACACCCTGAACACACTTTCTCAAGACGCATCCCAAGGACAAACTCTCAAATTGTAATCATCCCATCTGCAGTTTTGTATAGAAGAAGATTTTTAAAAAAGTTACAGATCTCTTCAAGCCATCAGCAACACGTTCCTCTCCAAGAACTATTCAACAAGGAACAAGTTGATCGTATACATCACAGCAACGACAAGGTAGATTGCTGCGATGTTCCTCAAACAGCTAACGAAATCTCCTGCTAACAAACCCAATGATTCAGCTGGGACACAGACCCTATCCAGTACATGAAACAACTGTCACAAACCTATGGCGTTAAAGCAGTGGCTGTGCAATGGACAACGGGAGCAGATCTGAGCTCGTTGGCTTCCTTCGCCGGTGGTTCTTCTTGTACTAATTCAGCTGCAAATCGAGCCAATATGGCTACTTGGCTTCAGACCAAAATGTGCAGGTTCGTTAATCCAGATTGTTAGCGAAACTAACTGCTAATACATAATTTTTAGCCAATCGTTCTGCCTATAAACTCTGCAAGGGCCAGTGAGAAGAAAAGGTTGATTCTCGATAGAAGAGATTCACAACAACTTATGCGTAGAACAGTGCCCATCCTTTTAGCATAAAATTGTTCAAATCCTTGTCTATGCATTTCACAGAAACTTTCACAGGAATGACAAACACGCCACGAAGACCACTCTATAGCAGAAGATAGAACGATTTGATAAGCAATAAATTTATGAAGGCCTGAGTACACTCCTCAGAAAGATAAATGGGATCACAATACTGAACTGCTCAACATCTATTATACACTCGTATTTGGATCATAGCTTGTTTCCCTATGCGTTCAATCTTTGCCTAGGGCACTATGGAGGTATCAGACAAAGAAAAATCTAAGAACCACTTCTCCATGATGTACCTAGTCACGCGCCTGCCTCCTCGTCTTTAAGGATGGAATCGTCAATGATGCACTCGAGACAGGTAACCTGAAAGCTGGCACTTTCGCTTTCGTGAACCGAAAAAATCAGAATCAACTCCATTAAACTTTGCCTAAAGGATTTATCTGACATGCTGATCACGCATATTGTTTCGTACGCTTTCTGCTTTAAATAAGTAAGGAATGTGGCTGGGAGAGGAAGGAAGGAGGGCGTGAATACTAATGCCCATTTTGCGCATTTGTATGCGAATAAGCTTTGTTCAGAGGAATTTATAGATTCGTCAAGTGTAAAAATGAATGTGGCGTTTCTTCATTCGTATA